GCAGCAGAGGTAAGCACAGGCTCAGCCCACCAGGACCCGTTGGGGGCCCTCCACACTCCACATTCTGGAAATGGTTAAAGGAGGCAAAAACACTCCTTGGTTCTAATTATGGGAAAACCAGCCTCTACCTCACCAGGATCCCCACCCTCTAGATACACAGAGTCTTTCATCAGCCCCAATGGCAGGAGCCCCCAAGAATCTGGCCGTGGCCACACACTCCCAGAGGAAGCTGGAACCCTGAGGCTGGTACAGCCTGGGCTTCTGGGGATGATAGCTGAGCTGGCATGCTGTCTGGCCTCACCCCAGCACCCTGTGCCCTACCTCCCTGCTGCGTCAAGGCCTGCTGAAGCAGTCCTCCATCAGCCAAGCACAGCCAGAGCCAATCCCAGCACACATCCTGCCCTGCCAGGGCCATGCCTCCCACCCAAACAGCATGCTTCACACAAGAGAGGTCAGAACGCACATGCCAGGCTCCGAGGAGACAGGCACAGCCAGACACGCGGAGCAGCGGTGGGAAAGAGCACAGCAAGAAGGTGTTGGCTATTCACAGCCTTCCTCTGGGCCAGACCCTGATCTCAGCTACAGCTCTCAGTGAGAAATCAGGGTACACACAGTTCTCCCGCTGGGTCCCTGTCCTGCCCTGCGGGAACACAGGGCAGGTCCCACAGCAGCCTGCAGGGTTGTGGTCATCCTTACTGCCCCTCCAGAAGCCCCACTCAGCAAGCTGGGTAGAGTGGAGGCCAGGCTTCCAGGGAGCAAGCATGCACTCTGAACTCAGCCCAGCCACGGACTCACTGGGGGACTTCCAGGAGCTACACTTCCTGCATCCGTAAAATCAGGAAAATATGACCCCAAGCCTATGCCGGGACTTGCAAGTATTTCTGTATGGTGTGGTGCAGAGTGGGCCTGGATACACAGTAAGGAGCCTCAGATGGAGCAGACCTCCACAGCTATCTTGCCCAGCTTCCCACACGCCCAGTTTTCTCAGGTTTTGTTTTTCTGCCTCAATAGGAGGCAAAGGGCAGAACCTCTCTGGGTACCTACTGAGAATTTTACGATCATCCCTCCCACTGCCAGCCATTCTGAGCAGCTCTCACCCACCCTGTGGTCTGGCCAAGAGGAAGCAAACAGTGGGGAGAAGAGGAAGGCACCCCGGTCCTAACAGGGATAGCCCACTGTCCTTTCCCTGTGTGGACTCAGAATCCTCACAGGTGACAGACAGCCCCAAGGGCCTTTGTGGCTCAAAGATCTGCTAAAAATGAAAGTGGGCGTGCTTCCACTGGCTTGGAAGACAGAATGAGCAGACAAGAAAGGCAATGCGGTGAAGTGGCCTAAGCCTCTACAAGACCAAGCCACGTGCACAGGGGCCAAGTGAGCCTCCCAGGCCCCACGGGGAAGCCTGGCCCCCTGACCACTGTGCACAGGCCAGGAACATGCAATGCATCTGCTCTGGAAGCAAGAAGGGCAGTGCAAGCACTCTGTGAAATGGGAGGCTCAGCCCAGGATGGAGTCCCCTGTTCTGCTCTTCCTCCACCTGTGTGACACCAAGGACAGAGATTTGGGACACCCTGTACTTTAACACAGCAGCAGTGAGAGGGCTGCACCCCATCTCTCCACACAGCAGAGCACTGGCCACAGAACTGGTGGCTGAGACTCTGCAGCAGGAGCAGAACCCCCATGACTCCCCAGAATCACAGAACAAAAGTTATAAGCCGCCATTGTCCATTTTTAAAAAACCCAGACCCTTAATTATTAAAAGAAGCCCATGAGAATTTTGTCTGGCAGTGAGTAACAAAAGCGAAGTCTAAGGAGCAAACTGGTGTACAGAAGCCGCATACTGCAGTCTCATGTGGTGTGAATCTAAGTGTCTAGCCCGCCTCTTCCTAACTGGACAGAACAGTTCTACTCCGACGAGTCCAGTAGGCTGTGGGCCCCGAGCACAGCAACCCCAGGAGGTTGCTGGGGTCTCAGCCACCTCCACACCTCTGCACACAAGTATGCTGCCCAGCAAGGGAGGGAAAGGCGAGGAAGAGGAGGAGACAGGCCAGGCTACATGCAGGGGGTTGTCAGACCCCACCCACCACAAAGCTTGCCGATGCTCTGGAGGTATTAGAGGGCAGCGTGGGCACCCGGGTGGGTAGGGTCTGCCGGGTGGCCCCCTCAGCAGGAAAGCAGGAGGCACTGTGATGGCAGAGGAGACAGGCCCAGACACGACTCCCAGAGGCATCAGTGGCTCCCCTACCCCACCAGGAGCACCACCACCTCATCTGTTCCAGCTGCCAGTGAGGGGGGGCCCTGGAAGTAGCTCGGGAGGACCCCAGGGAGGACAGGCCTCCAGGCTTCAGGGTGCAAACCCACCAGGGAACACCTCCCCATGCTGTTCTGCATCTGAGTGAGGGGTGATGGTAGGCTCCTGTTTCCCACCAGTCAGCCCTTGCAAACTAACTGACATCAAGGACAAGCAGCAGCAGTCTGACCAGGCACACCAGGGCCAGGGCAGGACATGGAAAGAAAAACTGACAACATACCTTGGCCTGAGGGGACTGCATTTTTTGGTACATCTCCAAGGAATAATGATGAAGCCACATTTCAACAAAAACCTGCAAAAGAGCATCAGTTGGTCAAATGATTTAATAAGAGTGTCAAGACCATTCAGTGGGGGAAAGGACAGTCTTTTCAACAAATGCAGCTGGGAAAACAGGACATCTGCATGCAAATGCACGAAGTTGGACCCTTACCTTAGACCATAAACAAAAAATAACTCGAAATGGATCAAAGACTCAAATGTAAGCGCTAAAACGATAAAACTCTTAGAAGAAAGCATGGGGAGAAACCTTCATGACATTGGACTTGGCAATGGTTTCTTAGATATGACTCCAAAAGCACAGGCAACAAAGGAAAAACAGACAAATTGGACTTCATGAAAGTGATAAACTTTTGTGCATCAAAAGACACTACTGACAGAGTAAAAAGGCAACCCAGAGAATGGGGGAAATATTCGCAAATCATGTACCTGATAAAGGATTAATATCCAGAATATACAGAGAATGCCTAAAACTCAACAACAAAAAAATAAACAACCCAATTCAAAAATAGGCAAAGGCCTTAAACAGACATTTCTCCAAAGACAGATAAATAGCCAACAAGGAATGAAAAGATGCTCAACACCACTAATCATTAGGGCAATACAAATCAAGATCACAGTGAGATACCCATTCATATCCATTAGAATAGACATAATTAAAAAACAGAAAATAACGAGTGTTGGTGAGGATGTGGAGAAATTGGAACCTTTGTGCATTGCTGGTGGAAATGTAAAAATGGTGCAGCCACTGTGGAAAACAGTATGGCTGCTTCTCAAAAAATTAAAGAATTACCACATAGTCCAGCAATTCTACTTCTAGGTATATACCTAAAAGACCAGAAAGCCGGGTCTCGAAGAGATATTTACATAGCCATGTTCATAGCAGCATTATTCACAATAGCCAGAGGTGGAAGCAACCCAGGTGTCCATTGACAGATAAATGAATAAACAAAATGTGATATTTACATACAATGGAATATTAAGTCTTAAAAAAAAATCTTACACATGCTACAACATGGATGAACCTTAAAGACTCACTATGCTAAATGAAGTCAGTCATAAAAAGAAAAATACCACATGATTCCACTTATACAGGCACCTAGAGTAGTCAAATTCATAAAGTAGCATTGTGGATGCCAGGGGCTGCCAGGAGGGACAAATGAGGAATTAGTTTAATGGGTACATAGTTTCAATTCTATAAGATATAAAAGTTCTGGAGATCCATTATAACAAAGTAAATATACTTAACACCACAAAACTGTACAATTTAAAATGGTTAAGACAGTAAATGTTGTTATGTATATTTTACCATAACTCAGAAAACAAAAACAAAAAAGAGAGCACTAGCGTTTTAGTCCTGGAAACAACCCTCAGTTCTGTCCTATAAACCCACCTTGGTCACCTGCCTCCCTGCCAGCAGAGCCCAGGGCTCACATTAGCTGGGAGCCATCTAAAGCACCAGGCCCTTCTGTGAACAGGGAGGATGATTCCAGCTGTCCCACTTCCCAGTGCTACTGTGACAATAACATGGAAGCCTTTAAAAACACAGCAACCCACATGCGAAGAGTTATGTACAAGGTGGGAGGGACATAATCCCATCTTATCCACAGTCCAGGCTGTCAACAAGCAATGCTTATGGTTCCCAACTCAGCCCCAGAATCTTGCATCAGCATCAGCTGAACCTCGCTCTCCAAGGTGTGCTCAGAAGACAGCCAGGCCCAGGAGGTGGCCATCGCTGCATTGTGGGAGTGAGCCAGCCCATGCCTGCAGGAGAGCTGGAGCTGCACAGGGCAGACAAGGGGCCCTGCCACCTCCCTTCTAGATCCCCTGACACGGAATGGCGGGGGATGCCTGCTGACCAAGGTGAAGGCTTCGAAGGCCCTCTCCATTCAGCATCATAAACACACTGCTGGGGCAGGGCTTACCATCCACACCAGGAAACATCTCCAACCACTTGGGAGTGGGTCAGAGAGGTGGGATGGGTTGGGGAGGTAGGAGCATTTACATGAATCTACTGGAAACTAAAAGATTGGGCAGCAATTACATCACCATGAGGAAAACAAAACTCTGTGGACAGGGAATCCTGGGATGAAAACACTGTCAATAACACACAAGTTAAGACAGGTGGGTAAATTTCTTCTCATCTGTTTTCTCAATGTCAGAGAAGGGAAATACTAACAATTTAGAACCGCCCTCCGGCTGAGGGGCAGTCTTTAGGCCTCTGCCCTCTGGGGTGGAAGGTGGCTGAGCAGTTTATGTTGAAGTGGAAGCAGAGAAGAGCCGCCTCAGCTCTTACCTGCAGCAGAGTTTCTGACCTCCAGATCTCGTGGGAGGCAGGGTCTGCATTCACAGAAGTCTGATGAGAGATGTGTCTCTTCAGGAGGCTGGTGTGGTGGAGGCCATAGGAAGCAAAAGGCATGGCTGGTGTCCTGAGGGAGATACAGGAACAGGCCTTTGTTAGGGGCTCCCACTGGCATAACCAGGGGCAATCTGGACATCAAAATCAATGACTTCAATAACAATTACAACCTCTTGAATCATACAACCCCCCAGTCCATGTTGATATATATGAATACGTAGGAAGAGAGTGCTCACTAATAAACATAGACGTGATAAATTAAAATCATCACTTGGCAACCAGCCTCTTAACTGACTTGGCCGAGGATCATCAAGGGATGCTAGGATGCTAACACTAGTGATAACTGCACAGTCTCAGTATATCTTCCCATTAAATTCCCCTTGCTCATTAATTTAGGCACAAAGTACTTATTTAATTTTACAGTAGGAAAACCTGGCCAACACCCTCTTAGCCCAGTGATGAAGCGAATGTCACCAGAAATGGGGCACATGGACACCACGGGTAACTGTTGCAGTGCTCCTGCCAACTATCCCAACCTGGGACTAATCACGAGGAAACATCTGAGAACCCAGGTCAAGGGTATTCTGCACACACCATGGCTGCGCGCTTCAAAGGTGTCAAGGTTGAGAAAATGAAGGGGACTGGAGACAACTGCATGCAGTAAGTGACCCTGCGCTGGATCCCAACAGCCATTCATGGGATAGAAACCCAAGTGGGGTCAGGATTAGATAGTGGCCTTGCAGCAATACTAACTCCCTAATTCGGATAGAAGTGCTGTGGTTATGAGGGAGAGTGCACTCGCTATTAGGAAACACACTCCAAAATATTAAGAGATAATGGGCATTATGTTTATAACTTACTCAAAGGGCCCAGAAAACACATATACAGATAAATACAGAGAGGATAAAAACAATTCAGTAATCTGGGTAAAGGGTCTATGAAGGTTCTTTGTGTTATATACAGCAGCTTTTCTGTAAGTCTAAAATTATATATAAAAACAAGCAAATAAAATCGGGCCCAGAAAACCACTGAGAGGGGGTGAATCTGCCCCCTCCCCAAGTCCCCTCACCTCTTCCTTTCAATCCTCTTTCTTTGGGGGTATCTGTCCATACATGTGAGCTTGGGATAATGGCATGGCACGTGCGAGATGTGGGGTGGGCCAGCAAGTGCAGAAAAGAGCCTGACTGCAGCTTCCCAAGAAAGGAGCTGGGCCAGTGAGGTGGAGGGGGCGGGTCAGAGGAGAACAAGAGGAAGCTGTTAGGACAGGAGGGTCTTCTGGGGAGAGTCGGCTAAGAGATTCCAGATTTAAGGTCCACCAAAACCCCAGTTCACCTTTGGGCTTAGACTGGCCATACACTCCCCTACTGCACAGTCCAGCCTGCTCAGACTGGCACAAAAGGCTCTTCACCCCAGGGCCTCTGGCTCAGGACAAGACCTAGTCCTGGAGCTCAGATTCCTACTATAGTCATGTATTGCATGACGTTTTAGTCAACAATGGACCACATAGATCGTGGTAGTAGGTCTCACTAAGATTATAATGAAGCTGAAAAATTTCTTTTGCCAAGTGACATCTTAGAGNCCTCAATCTTGTGAGCCGAACTTTTGGTTCAGAGTCCTTGTAGGATCTCTGAGAACCAGACCCGAGAGGAAAGCCTGTTTGCCGGCTGCCCAGGGACGGAAGGCACAGTGGAGCTCCGTGTAGCAGAGGCACATGGAAACACAGGATCCACAGCGCTCTGCTCTGGCTGTCTAGGCTGACATGCTCTTCTCCCCACACTCAACCCCAGCCCTCTGGGGCCTCAATAAACTTTGCAAGAACTCTTGGAAGCCTCGTCCCAACCCAGGGCAGTGTTGAGGCTGACGCAGGCCACACCTCCTCTCGTGACATTGACCTCTCGGGCTGAGGAAACCAGCCCACAGCACCATGCTTGCAGCATTCCATCATGGAAGTGCCTGCACAGGCCCAAGCCACCCGCCCTATAGGCCACTATATCTAGGGACGGCCTATGGGGCAAAAGGTAGCTTTCTTCTGGTTATCTGTATTTTTATGTCTTTCCACAATGAATTTGCATTGTTTTGAAGAAAAAAGCATGAGCTATTTTAATAATAATGAAAGATTAGAAGGGCATCAATATCAGGCCATAACTCCCTGATGAGAGCTCTCCCCCTTCTCATTCCTGGGTCCTCACCCTTACTTGGCCACCTTCCCTTTGAGGAAAGAGCATCAACAGGGGAACTGAGATCCTCTGCGCCATCTCACCCCATTCTTCCTGATGTTTCAGGAGAGTCAGGCTCCCTGCCACAGGCCCCAGCAATCACACTGTAACACCCTCGGCTATCTTCCCTCTAGGTTTGTCAAGCCAAACTTCTTTTCTTCCAACTCCTCACTCTCCTGAGCCAAAGCCCCACAGAAGTCTCTCTGGCCACAGCTGCAGGTAGCCTCCTCCACTTTTTAAGGGTTCCCGAAGCCCTTTTAGGGCTCTCGATCCTCCTCCTGTGGAATGAACGCAGCCAAATGTTTCTCCAGGGACCTTGCTCTTAACCAAGTGAGACCTTCCCCAGTAGAGGCTGGAGCAGCACCTACTTTTGTGTTTGGCTGGTCCATGCTGGACCTTTTGGAACATTCTGTTCCCTCCTCACTGTAGCTGCTACTTCATAGCAGGAGCCCTACTGTGTTATGCTCATCATCCCACCCCAGCAAAACAAGATTTCTCACCTGCTCAAATTCAAGTTCAATGTTGTATGCTCCCACCGAGGGTAAAATGGACAGGCCCCAGATACACATTTCCGCAGTTTCTGCCCAGACTTCCTGTCTCCTCTCATAAATCAGTGAAGTATGAGACTCCATCAGCCCTGAAACACCTTACAGGTTTGAACTCCACTTTGCTGACCTCAAATCTGTTACACTGTTCATTTCTGCCTAAGCAGACCACAATCTCCATGAGGTCACAGCTCACTCTTGTCTACCTCTTGAGGAACCCACAAGTTCACAAAAGGCTGGGCTCATAGAAGGCCAAGCTCCGGGTCACCGAGGGACTGACAGCCTCTCCAGGCTGGGGGGCTGTACCCCAACATTTTCCCACCCCTATGCCTCACACATAGGCTCACGTGGGCAGAACTGCACCACCCATAAGCCCCAGGACCTCTGCGTCCTCAGTCACTTACTGAGGGGTGAGTCAGCCTACTGCAAAGGCAGCAATATTTCGCTCCCTTGAACCAGGGCCAAGCACGGAGCCCCTGCAACACCTGAGAAACTGTGACACCTCGGCTGGCTTGAGGTTTGGCCAGGCAGATTTTGGGACCCCATAGACAGCCAGGATCACGTGCCTCACTCCCTGCCACATGGCCACACACCCCAAACCCCGGCTAGTCCACAAAGCCGAAGGCTGGGCCAGGCTGAAGGGCCGGGCCGCCCCCCAACTCCCAGGGCCTTGCTTTGTGTGGAACGGATCTCTGTATCACCCCCAGCTGGCCCCCAGCCGTGCCCTTGCTTTACCACTGCACTGACTCTGTGGCTTACACCACAGGGCAGGGGTGAAATGGAACAGATCAAGAGCAGCCAGTACTTGGTAGGCGTGGAGGGCCTGGAGGCTGGGTTGGGCAGGGCTGTGGAGGGCGCTGGAGACACTGAGTCGGTAGTGCAGAACCTCCAACTGAGACAACAAAACATAGAAGCCGGACAGGGCAGAGGAAGGGGAGGGGAAGGGGAGAGTGGGGAGAGAAAGAATAAAATGAGAGCCCAGAAGTAAGGAGAAAAAAAAACAAAAACAAAAGCTTGTCAGTGACAATCCAAACAATCATAGCCCAGCAACCTCAGGCCAGTGAGACACCACCCTCTCTCAGCAGCCCAGACCAAGACCCTGATAGTGGCAACTGCCAGGCACCAGAGGGCCAGACAGACCCTTCAGGTCACCTGGGAGGGCCCCTCCATGTTGCTGGGGCCAGAAGGCCTCTCTAGATCCCTGAGGTCAGCCCGACTCACTTTCCTTACATAAGGTCCTGCTCGTCCCTGACCCTGATGGCACTGTGTGCAATACGTGTATGCTGTGGCCCACCAGGAGCCCAGATGCCTCTCTGGGACACATGCCTGAGGCTCAGCAAAGAAACTTTTGAGAAGCCAGTTCTAAATAGAGGTCTCTCTAGGACTAGGCCTCAGAAAATAAAAATACATAATTTACTGGGCTTTCCT